GATATTGTCTTGGTGACATTCCGCAGTACTTCCACTAACCAACTCTGTTATTCAAATCTCGGGGTGATCGGAGGCAATCATCTATCAAATTCTGTACAAAACGGGCATTATTGACTGCTGTGAATATCAACAATCTTTATCATATCACTCATCATGTTCAACACTAGTAATAGAGTGTGCATAAATTGAAGAACACAATCATGGAACTATGCACCAAATCCTGATAAACAATGGCTATTACAACACACCGGTCGAATGGAACCAATTCATGTCGTTTTCACGGATGTTTTGCACAGAAGACGCTTGCAAACTTTGCAAAGCGTTGATCACAATATTTTAAGGGTATTTTTATGATTATTGTTTGCTCATCTGATCTGTAATGATCGGAAAGAGTGACAACTGAGTGATATTTTCATAGCATTCACTTATTGAGCTGAATTTATTTTTGCAATATTCATTCATTTACTTAACACCAGAATTTGCTCATTTACATGAAAACATCCTATGTTATGGTTTGATAATGTAAAAATTGTAGCCCAGGCTTGAGAGGCTCAAATACTTTAAAGAATGCTAGTGTTGGGAGGGTCAACGATATTGAACTTATGGAAAATAATATGTCAGATATGAATGTGTGAAACAAAATGTGATGTTTCGAATGAATTTCCTTTGAAATCGTTGAACAGATTGATTTGAACTGAAGTAGTGGAGTGAAAGGAGGATGTTTTGACATATTCTATCAGCCAAATTATACCTAACTTAATTGAATGCAGTGACAAATAACAGTGATAATAAGCATGAGATGGTAATAAAACTATTGAAGATAGTCAACGAATTACGCGATATTGGTGAGTTATCGAACACCTACATAATCTACACCAGTGATCATGGCTATCATCTGGGTCAGTTCGGTTTAGTGAAGGGCAAAAACATGCCTTATGAGTTCGATATCAAAGTGCCGTTCTTCATTCGAGGACCGTTGCTTCCTAAAAATCTATCGTTCGTCTTTCATGGCTTATTGATATTGATACCGTTATCATTATTATTATTATTATTATTATTGCTATTATTAATATTGTTATTATTATCATTATTATTACTATTATTGTTGTTATTATTAATAATTATAAAATAAGATAAGATTGAAGAATTCGATCAGCAGTAATGAATGTTGATATCGCACCAACAATACTTGATATGGCTGGCGTTGAGGTACCGCCGCACATGGACGGCAGATCGTTGTTACCGTTGATTCATGAGCATTATGGTAATCTTTACTGTTACTTTATTGTTATGTCTAAGTGTTACTTATTATTGCAATTTTATCTCTAATCATTATCATTACTATAATATCATGAATATGCATGCTTGCAATTATCATGAATAGTTAATTGCATCATTTCAAAGAACTAAGTGATATGGCTGGCTACTGTAAGCTTAATTCACTGCATGGTCAAGGTCATTTCATATGCTAAATTCTTTGTTAATTCGAGTGCATTATTTAAGAGAAGAAACGAAAACGATCAAATCACAGAGCTTCAAAGCAACAAATACCGTTGAATTGGAGACATACGGTTCTCATTGAAAGGGGGTTCGTTTATTTATCGCACTTGTTCACTGATTTATTTCACTGTTCAGTCGTTAATGATGAGCATAAATTATAATCGTTCAGTTGCAATAACAGCTGATCACTGATGCTGAGTCCACGTGTATGAGTCCTTTTTGAAATTTATCGACGCGATTTTAAGTTATTTATTTGCACTCATTCGCTGCTACTGTGGATTGTAACAAAGATTACTGAGTCAGAAATTATATGTCTGTTCGAGTGTTACTCATCAATTAGAGAGCTTTTTTAGCCAGGTCTTTAGTCACGGTAGGCTTGGCCCCAAAATTTCAATTAGTAGCAAATATAATATAATGATCCACATCACTATTCAACTTGGAACTTCGAATAACACGGGTATTTAGACTAAGTTGGGGTATGAGCGTTCCCTCTAGTTATTATATTGGCCCTCTTTAAAAAATTCAGAATAGCCAACCCCAACCCCCCCCCCCCCCCCCNGGATACGGGCTCGATTGGTAGTTTGTTATTATTTATTATCAATGCATCATTGTTATGACTACTGAACTATCACAACTTATTGTCTACATCGAATCTGTCTTTCATCGGTTGACCGTTAGAAGCAAAAATATGCTCTGTTAAGCACTAAGGATCTGTTGATAAATTGGCATTGCGTGGGATGAAATGTTTGTTGCGAATGTTTAGCGAGAGAGACACAGAAAGTTGTTGTGCAACCGTTGATTGATCAGAGTGATTTCAAGTGAATTATAATCTCTTAACGATTGGAATATTGAAATGCAGAAAAATGGCAAAACTAACAAAAATACGTGATCGAATGCAAAAACAGCGAGATCGATTCGGTAAGGATGCTAGGGTACGGCAAGCTTGCAGCAGACCTGAATTCAGACATCCATGTCAAAATGATCAGGTTCTTACCGTTACTCTTACTGTTTCTTAGAGCTATCATTCAGCATTATTATCATTATTATTGATGTCCGTTACACAATTACCCATGAAATACATTCGATATCTCAATAAATTGGATATCTCTATAAATGCTAACAAAAATTGTGGATTGCTCTATTGAAAGCACTCAATACAATCAATGATTATAATGCAGTCATTCCCTGAATAATTCATGAAGATTATGTGCATTCCAAAAACGAATTAAATTAGTCGAAAACTTCAGCAGTGGAAATGCATACGTGACAGTGCGAATGGTAAATGGAAAATACTGAAATGCGACGAGACTATTGAAGTGGTTAAGGAATGCGTTTGTCAATCGAATTCAACTCATCAACAAATTAAGAAACAAACTCGAAGGAATAAAAGAAATTTCTTCGATGATAGCAACGGAGGTTAATTTGTCGTTATATTTTATTGCTGCTTTCATCGATTCGTTACAACTAATTGAAACTTTTAGAGTGAATTAATATGCATTCACATTGATTGATCACAAACTGTACACCTATACTGATGTCTTCAGAGTGGAAAAATATGTTGGAAATTGCAAACATTTTTATGTGACAAAAAGCATTCAGACTGATCACAAATCGCTTTGAATTAAAAATAATTCTCTGAATTGAAACATCGCAGTGATCTGTCGATGTGTTATTGGAATGCGGAAAAAATGTCAGTTTTACGAAAAATGCGAAAATTAATTACTTGAATATGTTATTTGAGAGAAAGTAAGTTATCGACGTATAACAACAATGCGAGATATCGATGAAATCGGTGAATCGGTCGACATTAATAATGAGCTTTACATGAGATGGGAGCAAGAATTCATTCACCACATTCAACAAGTTTGAATTTCTCATTATAATTTCACTTGAAAAAACTGGTATAAGCAATATACGAATGAAATGTTCATCGTTCAGAAGGAAATACTCGAAAGTGGTCAGTGGTTTCAAGGTGTATTCGATGATGAAGATGATAACGATACTGATAACGAAGATGATAAACGTTCGAAGAGATCTATAAAACATCGTAAGAAAAGAAAGAAGGAGCGTGATCTGAATGTTGGACGTAATTGTTTTTGATATGAATTCTCTCCTTTTTTTTACTTATGGTTATTTACAACTGCAAATTTTTAAGCACTTTACAATTTCTTTCCAATTGTTCACCATTACTTTTACAAATTTCCATCCTACAAGCATATGGTTATCGATTTTTCATCTCTGCTTTCAACTTTTTTCATTCAATATCCCAGTCACCTCAACGAATCCAACGGATTTAATATTTTGTCCCAAAATGAAATCGTCGATTCCCATAGATGACTTTGCTTATCAAATTCACACCAGACACCCATCTGACTCGAGCATTCGACCGACTATCGGCTTGTAATCCTACATGGAATGACTATGTTCGTCGTGCGATGATCGGAATATAATTTCAGCGATGTGCACACACAGTCAGTCGAATAAAAGTGTGTTATGTGAACCGATCGTGTTCGAGGATTCGAGAGTATGGGCAATGCATAAAACAAAAGTGGATGATAGAATTGAGAATCTCAGAAAGCGACTCAATCGATTCAAGGTTTTCTAATTCATTTCTGACTTCCGCATTTACTCTTTATGATGAAATTTATTTCATATTCTCTCCTTTGTCAATCGTAAATGACATATTATACACTGACTGCAACCTTCATAGCAAGTGATTTTCAAGGATCTTCGTCGAGTGCTGAAACGAGGACGACCGCATCTGTCAGATGATCCAACGACATCACAAGCGATAAATAATAATTACAATCATACAATCAGTAATAATCATAATAACAACAAAAACGATGACAATAATAATTCTGAACTATGTGAATGTTCAGCGCAAGCTAATCCTATACAGTGAGCTTTCAGTACTCATTACTATTTGATTTCAAAGGCGATTTTTATCAATACAGTTAATGTATTTGATATTGTTGCTATTTTAGATCTGACGATGTGTTCGATGAAAACAAATACAACGATGGAAAGCATAAAACTAATTATCGAAAACATCATCAGTATGGAACGAAGTGAGAATTTTTGCACTGTTTGATATATAGATGGATTCAGTAATAGAAATGATTTCTTGGATAATGAATTCAAATTTTTGATAGCGAAATAACTCAAAATCAGTTATCAATAACTCAGTTGATATGAGTGTGGAAACTTAAGAAATCATTGTTCATAACAACTTTTTCAATCTCTAAGATTACATTCTTCAAAAAATTTCATTTGCCATCGTTTAATTCCCCCATAACAATACTCAACTCTTTTTCAAATGGTACTCAATCCAAACGTTCCATATTAGACATCCTAAATTCAGCTACTTCAAGAATTTAAACAACAGAATGCTCTTATCAAACAGAGTTTCTGAGTCCATTTCAGGGGCTGCTTCCGGTATTCAAATAGGTTCACTTTTCAACCGATCAGAGGGCGATTTTGATCATTTTAATAGTTTTTAGTTTCCCATCCTTAACACAAATTTTCAAATTTCAACTCATGAAAATAATCATCTAAGGAAATGGTTTCGTGAAGATACAAAGCAGAACTGTAATGTACCTCAAATGAACTGTTTCGTGCACGGTGCAGATCACTGGAGAACACCACCGTTGTGGCCATCACTCTATGGCGAATTTTGTTTCTGTCAAAACTCGAACAATAATACTTATTGGTGCTTGAGAACAATCAATGAGACGCATAACTTTTTGTATTGTGAATTTATCACTGAATTCATTAGCTTTTATGATATCAATTCAGACCCTTATCAGGTAAATTGTTTGTTCGTATTATATATTTCAGTTGTTTCGACATTCATTGCAAAAGATTCGCTAGATAATCAATGAAGTGCTCATGAAGCAGAGAGATTGTTCACGTCGTTTTCTTTCGAGAATTTGAGAGGACCTTTCAATTTGCCATTCATTATGAACGCTAGTAATTAATAAGATGCACAGTTGAACAGAGCCAGCACTACACCGCTCTGTTCCCTGCCCGCTCAGAAAAAAGACATTAAAAATGTAAAATCTTTAGATATAAGAGAATTTCAATGATTTAGCGATGCAGCAATTTGTATTAATTGCATTCATTTCATACTTATTCGATATAAGGTTTTCGATAAGAATAAATGTGTGATTACTTCAATACATTCAAGTTTGAATCGTAAAATTACCATTAAGAGTAGAGAAATAACACTATCCATCCAAAAGCCTTCCACCTCAAACAATCTTCTGCGTTAGTAGTAGTCTACCTGTTTGAATTTCATCGATCATACGTTTCCATTCCGATCGGGCGATTGCTAGCATATGAAATGGTGATAACCAATCGAAAAACTATTTTCAATGATATGCGCATTCGTCAGGGGATTATTGTGTCGTAATACAATAATTTGTACTCTTATCACAAGTGAACACTGATAATAAGTCTCAATCTCAATAAATGAAGCGATAAATTTCAGTTGCACAATTCGGTATGGTCCATACCAGTGGGTGTGCTGGAACAGTTGAGTAATCAGCTTGAGAAGTTACGATCTTGTCGAGGCTATGAACAGTGTGAACATTACGCATCACCCAGTTGGAATCTACCATTTGAAGCATCAACAAATGATATTAAATAATTTATTTATTATTGATCTGCTAAATAGAATGTTCAAGGAATGTCATTTTTATGAGTAAATTCATTCAAATAAAAAAAATCCAATCCAACACTTGCAACAATAACTGAAAAAAAGACTAAATTTAAGCGGAAATGGACGGTCCGTCGTTAGTGAATCATTAGGAATGAATCGTCAAATTGAAATGTTGTTGGGAAATACCATTGAATCATACTGCTTTCATGTGAACTAATTCAGTGTTTATGTCAATATCTGCAAATAATCTGATATTACGTAATGATTATAATTATGATGCTATTAAAGTTCGCTTTTTCTACTTCAAGCTCGAAGCTGAATAAACTTTCAATAAGTGTGTATGTGTAACATTGTTAAATCCTTCGAAGCACTCAAATCAATTGCAGTAGACTCAATTTCTAAATGCTTCTTCTAACATTTTCAAGCTTGTATGGGTGGTTTTGAATCATTCCTCGCAGTCATTGTCTGGGATACGTCACTTCTTAGTGATTATTTCGTCTTCGTCGTTCTAACGGGCCTGCGTCATCTCTGTGATCCCTTTCCATATTTCTCATCATAAGCCGTACTTCCCAACCCTCTCCATGTATTCTTAATCAACACATCTTTCGCGGTTCTACGCAAACATTGTGTATATTCTATCGAAACAAATTACCCACCCGGTAATTATCTCAATAAAAAATTACCTGCCGACCCAATCATTTTGTACAACAACAACATTTAGCATTTCACATCGAAATTTATCTCTCCTTAAAGAAGCCTTCAAATGTCGTTATGCTATCACAAAAGGGCATGCAAATGTCCGTGCAATATAGAATGATGTCATTTTGCGAGAGTAATCGATTGCGTTACGCCATTGAATGAAGTACTATTGGTTTTTTGTTGTTTCATTCGAGAGTAGCATCTTCAAAATGCTTAAATGAATACTGTTAAGGTGGAATTGAGTTTAGAAGAGGATCGTAAGCGTTAAGCATAACACACTGAAACATTGAGTAAAACAGGGCGTTCGTTTGTTCTGTTGTTCTTATTATCATAATAATAATAATTGCTATTATAATTGCGGCACTCTTATTTTACTGCTGTTTATTATATTCTATAACTAATACCTGTGGCAAGCATAAAAATGCCACTGTAAAAAGGANAGTGTTTCTGACAAATCGAGTTCAATAATTCATTTCATTTCAGTTTTATTGTATTCATCATAAAGAGTTGTTTTTTGAATTGCCTCATGAATCTGAAATAGTGTTCGCTGAATATTTCATAAAATACAACGTTTATTACGTCAGATTCGTTCGAATCGAGTTCAGCTGATTGATAAAAATTCGGTGTGAACAGAGGCTTTGCTGATAAGACTGTGCTGATAAGACAAGACGACAATGATAGTGATTTATGTACTTAGTTTGTTTCGAATGCATTTAGAATACTAATGAATTATTCATTGTAATCATTACCTTTCATCGCAGGACAATCAATCGTTTATTTTATCATTTCACAGTGCAGTGTTTTTGATGGAACGTTAAGGTGATGATTATTTCGCATGCAACGTTGTTCACATAATGCTAACGAATAATGATCGTTTATTACGTCGATTCATTGATCATATTCACTCTTTATTACTCTATTCTCTTGAATAGTACCATCATCAGTGAATATAGTTGATATTATTAATGTTCAGTGTGTTGTTGTCATGATCGCTACTGGTATTGTCGGTAGAATTAATTCTGAACAATCACTAGTATTCAGGTTATTCAGTAATGCCTGTTGATACGGTTGAATTATTAAGTGCATCTTCATTACATAACAACAATAATAACAAAAACAATAATAATCAAGCGAACGATGTGAACGATGCGAGTGATGATGTGGACACCGCAAAAATTACTCTAGTGGATGACAAGAAGGCATGTTATTTTACTGATAATATTCATCACTTGTAGTTGTAGTCTGTATTGCTTTAATCAGTGTCTCGATACATTTTTGATTCATTTGAGGGATTTTTTTAAATGTTGTGAATTGATAATTGATGATTAATGATATTCCTCAGACGGACATTCGTAATTGTTAACCGTCTTATCAGTAACTGATATAAATAACCATAAAGATAAAAAAATTAAACTGTACGAAAAAATTAAACCATTGTTTTTCAAAAACAAACATTTGATGAATGAAATGATTGAAGGAACAGAAACAGTCAATATCAAGTGAGATTGAACCGAAAGATGCGAGGAAATTGCTTGGAGATATGACCGAGACAGACCCTGCTGAGGCACGCATCGGTCTGAGGTATTATTGTTATTACCAAACTATTTTTTTCAGCTGAAGATGGTTCTCGAGGTTTTTCATCTCTGTCAAGTGGAAGGATAATCTAGACGATAAAAGCTCATTGCTTTAAAAAGTTTACTTTAATTCAGTGTGTTATAATACGGATGCAGTAAATCATTTATTGTATTGTAATACTCACTGTTTTTTGAAATGGTCTGAACGATTGTCGTAGAAGGTCTGAACTGTTAGAATCTTACTGTTGAATGTATTGTTAAAAAAGTGAACTCGATTCAGGCTATATCGTCGTCGTTGGATTGTATTAGCAGTGGTAGCATTGTTGAACAATTCCAATACGATGTCTTGGATTGCGTTCGCATCAATTGCTAACCACGTGAATGCGTTTTATGGGAATGTTAGTTCATTATTTATTTATTCATTATTGCTTGTGATATAATTATGGTCTGATGTTTTGAACGATTAGAAGGTTCGTTTAGACACTGTAGGATTCATATGCATCAACCAGAACTTAAACGTCCACATTCAGCTAATACTCACGAGGTTTGAGGTTCGAGTCGTGATTTTGGATTCACTGACGAGTGATAGATATGAAGATTGGATTGCCTTCTTGAGATTCTTAAATGTTATCATTAATGGGTATTCCAGGAACATGCTGCGAATTGGTTTTCATTAATCTATATCGTGTGTACCATTCCGGTGGGTGCAGTAGCTATGTGGCTCGGCAGTAGATTCGGTTTGAGAACCGCTATCCTTATCTCTGCTTGTGCAAATGCACTCGGGGCGATAATACGATTCTGCAGGTAGTTTGTCAGTCATTTTATTATTATTATTATTATTGTTTTTATCAAATATATTTTCATTTTTTATTATTATTCATGCTTTCATTCTCCACTAGTTCTTAATTATGATCAATTCAGCTGTTTAATTCGCATGTTAATTCATTATTTTTATCATAAATTATTAAGAGAACGTTACAATCATGGTTATTATTATTACTTTTAATAATTTCAGTTCATTCTCACCGTTAGACATCCGTTTTGCAGTCGGTATGATAGGACAAGCGCTGGCCGCTTCTGCATATCCATTTATTATGTTTTTACCAACCAAGGTTTCATTTAATGAATGTTTATTATTATTATTATTATTATTATTATTATTAGTATTATTATTATTATTGAATATTTATAATAAATAAAATAATTAATAAATAGGAAGGTAATAAATAAAACAGTAATAAATAA